CGAAGTAAAAAATCAAGCAAGATATCTCCCGAAAATGTAAGGGGAATTGCGAAAAATCCATACGATACTTCAACAACTGAAACGAAGAATCTTAGTAAGTATCGCAATAATAAAAATCCTGAATCATCAGAAAGCATTTGTCCAATCCGTACTATAATCCTCAAGCAATACCACGAAGTCATTAATTCGGTTTGCGATCCAATACGTAAGATCACAGCGGCAAAACTAGTACACACATGCCGAAGAATTCTACATCGTCCCGCCTCGTCCTTATCATATAAGGCATAGAATTCCGTACGAAGGGGTAAACACCATCTGCATATTCGGAAGAGTGAGTACTGGCTACTGCGGATTGAAGTATATCGTCTGATTCTCCTTTTAGGGATGCTGGTTGCATTCACACTGGAAGTATTACCGTTATTAGTAAACATCCCAGTGACAGCTGTCCTTTCTATATCTTATGGACTCCTTGTGTTAGGCGTCATAGGATATCTCTATGTGCTTGTGGAAGTATCCGAATAAGGACAAACATTCAACGGTATCAGTAAGCCTCGTCTAAAGGATTGTATATGAGGCGTGGAGAATTACATGTGAGACAAGATCTCGGCAGCTTCTTCCATCACAGTAACTGATTATTATTGGATGCTATGTTGAAATGATAGCGGGGTTTCTCAATCGCTGAAGGGCGATCGTGCCTCCCAAAACCCCTTTGTAATTTGAACAATTAGTCCCCTTTTTTTCTTATTTTGCTATCTACATCACATTTCAACTTTGTCCCGTATCGTAACATGGTATCTTGCCTTGACTAAGTCCCTTATCGTAGTTTTACATTAATATGGTCGTCATAAAGCCGTTGCTGTTGTATGTAGAATTATAAGGAAGGAGCCCCCATCTTGTGGGTGTCCTGGATATCTTCGGAATGTAGCAAACCTATATAGCTATATCGATGCGTCACCACTTAACCCGAATACGTCCTCTGGAATCAGAGTCTGGTATACGAAGATGAAATGGCTATATAATTTATTCTTGCCATGACGACAAATTTCTCCTTCTTTTCTCTTGTGTCGACTTTCCTGAAGCTGATCAGGAGTATGTTTTATGTCTACCAAAAGGGAGGTGACTGGTGGCATCTTATTAGCTCCTAAAAAGGACAATTCTGGTGTCTTTGAACGTGCGGATCAGAAGAATTCAGGAGGGATTTCTATGACGGGTTATCAGTGGAATTATTATATGCCCTCTCTCATGTGTCTCACATTGGCTGTTTTTGTTTTCACTTTCGTTCTGGCTTTGTGGTGTTCAATCTCCATATATCTTATCTTTTCTCTCGAGGTTGATATTAGGAGGGACATGTGACTTCCTTTTTAATCTCTGTTTTCCTGACATCAAGAACAATGTTTTAATTCATTTATCGCCACTCAGCACTGTTACCTTCCCTTTTTGCTGTTTTGTATTTTTTGTACTCTTTGTTAAAGGAAAGTAGGAGAATGAAGACGGGGTAAACACGTGTTATAAACATTCTCACATTGGATGCATTAATAGAACGATATGTAATCCGGAATGATTCTCCTATGGCTCCATAAATATCTGTTACATCATCATAATTTCTTCCGGATCTTTCTAATTTCATTCGTATGCGTCTCCCTCCAGTCATTGTTAGTGGCATTACACCACACAGCACGTGATCTTGTGGACATCACATGAGATGCCGCCGTGATATCCTTTGTTTTTTTTGTTATTTGGCCTGTGTCTCTTCCTTAGAGAACTAGTTGAGCTATATACTCAAAGATGATTTCATATACGGTAAGAAGCATGTCGCTGTAACCTGTCCTATTAGTTAAGTTGACTTCGGGGGCAAATGGCAGCGTCCCCTATGTGTGTGAAGACAGAGAGGCTGGAATCGCGACGATTCTGTGATCAATTAGGAAGCAAACATTACCACATACAGGTGCACAGCTCCCAAGGTGACTACTTTATGAGGCCGGCCCACAACTTAAGTTGAAACAAGGACCAAGAGGACTTCTCTCGACTAAAGGGGGCATCCTATTTCTGCATAAGGAGCTCCAAAGGTTAATAAGAGCAAGGAAACAAACAATTTGCGGATACCAATTCACAGCCTTTCGGCGGGAGAGTGCCAGATACCCCTCTACGAATGTGCCACTATGTACATCTTGTATTCAACTTTACTTCTCACTCTATAATGCCTTCAGGCGCATCATTCACTGCCACTTCATTGTATGAAGAAATTTTGACCACCAAAAACTTGTTCCTTTTGTGTTTTCCTTAATGATACATTAATTACTGCAGTGAATAACTATCTATCTGTTAATGGCGCATATCTAAGCCGTATCTGTTTTTTTCTTTCGTTTACAGGACGGCAAAGATCGAACATATCAAGTCATAGTGTATTTTTATCTGAACGAATTATTTCTCTTTCGACCCTGGATTTGTTCTGTGGGTGACACTTAATATTATGATGTGAATAAAAGTTTCGTGATATCACACATCTCGCCTTTATCTTATATGGAGGATTTAATAGGTTAATTCAGTAACTGACCAATCTAAGCAGAAAAAATACACCAAAATCTCGAAGAAATCATTGGGGGGGGGGTTCAGCATTAAGCCATGTGATCATAGTATTCTAAGCGCAACTCATGAAAGAGATGACTTCCTCTCCCGCAACAAGCCATGACCAAAATTAAAGCTCCGTATATATATAAATATACATAATATCTATAGGGGTCTAAGGGCGAAATAGATAGAGACAGAAGAATTCCATTATTCATTTCTCTGCACCCCACATGCGTTGTTCCCCTCTTTACCCGGAAAGAACTTTAACCTTCCTGTATATATGAAATAATCTTGATGCATATTCCTTTTCCCATTATGTATACATTATCAAATGAACTCGATTGATAGAGGAACATGGGTTTAATTTCTTAAACACGCCATACTCAAATCAAGGGGGAGAAAGGGACCACTAAATCGATGACTACAGAAGAAATATTATTATATTTGTAGATAATATTTGATTAGAAGTAACCCTGTCTTAATAGCACGAAAGCATTCCAATAATAGTCATGTTAAATACAAGAGCAGCTCCACATCAAAATCCAATCGGAAACATGATAAAGGAAAAGTCTAGTAGGATTCAGCACATGATACAACCCCCTTCACGGGAAGGACGTATATATGATTGTCTTCCAGTGATGCCAACAATCCTCCATGATTATTTCAAGGGCTACTATTGACGAATTCGAATTAGTTTATGTGCTCCTTTTATTTTGTTCTGTTTTTTTAAGATATTACAGAAATTAGGTGGCATATTAGGAATCTGTACCTGTAATCTCATTAAAGAATAAAGGAATTATTTTTAATTCCTCCAAAGATGCATATATATGTAGATATACAAGCTTCCTCCCTTACTGTATTGATAATTATTTTTTAGTAAAAACTAAAATCAGGAAATTATACAGGCACATTGATTTTGATACGTAAGATCGGTTTTGACCCCTACCTAAGGAATCATCGCCACCCAATAAACAATAACCAACGGGCCCCTACTCCTGAGGCCTACAAAAAGAGGACGCCTGAAGGACCCCCGCAAAGGTAGCCACCCTCCCCTTAACCATCAAGGACTCCTTCCTCAAGGCCAAATCCGAAAGGTAGAGGCGAGGCAATAGCCATTGAAACAGGACGACTACCGATCCAACACAGGAAAAATCTCTCGGCAGTACTAGACTTAAGGCGGCGCCCCATACCATCCCTCTTGGATGACAAAAACCCCCCAAAGAAGCAAACAAGCCTAAATGTAACACTGACCCCTAACACCTAAGAAATAAGGTATGGACCCTCAACACTGAGCACTAAGCGAGGTTACATATCCCACATAAGCAAACCAGTGAGTCAGTCCACCAGACTACACAAAACAATACCAAACAGGTTATAAGAAGACAAGTAACGAGGAATTAAGGCCCTAAAGCAAAGAAAAAAACCGTAAGGAAACAAGCGTAAACAGTAGGAAGAGAAACTGAGCCGCAGAACCAGGAACCTACGGATTATGAACCCCACTAATGAACAAAACACGCCGGAACAAGTCACCCGAAGAAAAAAGCCTCAGGAGGCAAAGTGTAAGCCCTACAACCTAACACGTGTATACTAAAGCGTGACTCCTAGAGATTGAAAAAGACACCGTAGATTCTGGAAAAGGGAGACCCCTAAAGGAAAAGTAAAAATAGGGACTACCGAATAAAAACTAAACCTAAGCACTAGCAAGGAAAAAATGACAGAAGAAGTCTCCCCTCGAAATTAAAAGACTTAAACCCTACCCCATACAAACAAGAGACGACAGCCAATGGAATCTGACACACAGCCAAAAAACTGAGAGAGTCCAGGATAAAGAAATGAAACTGGCCTGAAACTGAAAGGAGCCGAAACCTAAGCCCTGGAGAATAATCACTAAATGAAGCCTCATGATAAGTAAAAACTATCCCCTAGAACTAAAACACTACCCAATAAGCCCTAATCCATAAACACAATACTCGAACTACAGGCCCGCCCCAGAAACCCTGAAGCATAGGAACAAGCATTAGACCGTATACCCCTAACGTCAACAAATGGGACGTGAGACTTAACTCCAGAAACGGAACCCTAAACCCCAAAAATAAACCATAACATCTAAGCCCTAAGAACAGACTCCCAAGCCATATCCGGGTAATCGACCAGTCCCACCAAGACAAACGTAACCCCCCCGAAATGGCACCCAAACAGAAGCACCTGAAAATTAAGATCTTCTCCCCGAAATCAAAGTTCATTAGAAAAAAACTCTCCTCCTTGAACCGAAAGATCTCCACCTAAGCCCTAAGCCTAACTGAAGAAATCACCCAAAAGAAGGAAGAACGCCCTGAAATCAAGAAATGGCGTACAGCTCCAACCCTAGAGGACAAAACAAACAGCTGGAATAACTCCCCCCCAAGAAGGAACACTCAGATATCCCCACTAACCCCTAAGACTGAGGCCCAAAACACAGTCACTGGAACGTGAGAAGAAACCGCTGGAAATCAGACGCAGGAACATAAATAATGATACCTGAAGCATAGAAAGGAACTCAAGAACAGTAAGAAGTGACGAATCCAGTCCAGAACCTGACCCCCCAGCCCTGAATCCTAAGAAGGAACCTGCCCCTCGGATAGCCTAAGGCCTAACCCTATCGGCTAAATACTAAAGACTAAACCATGGATAGTGGAATTGAAACCAAACCATGAAACATGAGCCATCCCCGAGAAACCATAAAAAACGGCACCTTTCACTTGAAGCCGGGGTCTAAACAGTAAGTCTTCACCCCTAAGACTAAAAATAAGACATCAACAAGAGGACATAGTCCCCGAAGTCTGAACCGAACCCGTCAAATCCCTAAACCCAAAAAACTAAAACACATCTCCTAATCCCTAAAACGTAAATGCGGAGCTATAACTCCAGAAAGCTAACCTCTGAACCCTGAAACCTGCTCCTAATCCATAATCTGTAACAACAAACTCTGAAACTTGATGCCTAACCCGTACATCCTAAACATAGGATCTACCACCAAGAGCCTAGAAGGAAAACCATAATCCCTAAAACGAAATCATAATCCAGAGACCTAAAGCCTAAAAAGTTCTACCCCCCAAATCTAAACGCTAATCCATAAATCTAACTAACTCAACTCTAAACCATAACCACGAAAGTCTAGAACATGACCCTTGAAACCTGAACCCTAGAACCTAATGCTTAAATGCTAAAAACTGAACTCTAAACCCTAAATCCAGTACCCTGAACCCTAAACCTAAACCCTGAACACTGAAGCCTGAACCCTGAAACCTGAACCCTAAAGCTAAAACATAACCCATAATCATAGGACCCTAAACCCTAACACTAGACCTTCATCCCTAACCTCTGAGTCCTGAACCCTAAACCCTGGACCCTTAAACGAACCCCTGACCCCTGAGACCTAAACATAAACCATACTCCTAAACCTTAAACCGAACCCTACCCCCTTAGACCTAACCCCTAACCGTGACCCCTGAACCCCGAAGTCCCAAGGTCGAATCGGGACCCCTGAGCACGAGACTCTGCGGCATCAGCCCCCAACACCAAGCCCCGTAGCCTGGGTGCGTAATCTTAACCCTTACCTTCATTCAGAGACGGACTACGTCAATCAACTATGGCTTACCCGAAATGTAACCCCTAAGGCGTAAACCCACAACTCTAAACGTCAGACCCTCCCTTATATTCTTCAGCGCCCAGGCCCCTTCGTTGTCTTCAACTAGGGGGTCCAGAATTTGGAATACATGACCAGACTCTCCGTCCCGCTCCTGCCTCCTGCTAACAGGCGGCCTTTCCTTCCATGGGGTGTATAGTTGTCTTTCTGCAGGTCACCTTCATGGAGCTTCTAACTGCTAAGCAGTCTTCTTGTCCTTGGAAGTATTATCCAGAACCCTACCCCCCCTACCGCAGGACCCCTGGGGAGGTCTACGGGAGAAAGATTTTGGCTCTTCTGTTATCCCCCTTCCGTCGCCAGGTTAGTGTTGGCTGTGGGTTTTGCCAGGAGGGGGGGCCAGCGGGAAGGAGTCCCCTAGTGCCTGGGTTGAGGCCCAGGTTACTGACTTCGTTTTTTTCTGTGGAGACTCTCCCTGGGGATTTGGTTCTGTGACGTCTGTGGTTTACACCCACGGTGTGGGAGTTATAGAGAAGATTCCGCCCTTAGCGGCTGTGGAGCAAAACTGTCTATTCACTCCTCGGCTGAACCTTGGGCTCTATTCTGGTAAACAAGAGAGAAAGATGAATGAAGGTTTCCTGCTCTTCGATGCCTGAGGATCTAGCACTCTTTCTCCTTAGTCTTGGGTTGACTTGGCGAGTGGGAAGAAGGCCTCATGATTGGGCATAATTTAGGTGCGCTTTCCTTCTTCGCGGATGACTAAGTTTCTTGGGGGACCAACTCCGACCCGCTTTGGCGATTCGGTAAAAACCATACATACTCGCAAGGGCCAGGATTCCTCCTACCACCCCCCCCATTAGACCCTGTATTGATATGTTGGGCTCCGTGGGGAATTGGTTGTATTGGTCCTCGGCGGTGACTGCGTCGACGGCGGCGCTTCCTTCATTCAAGTCTGATCTATCAGTAGTTGACTGAAGGGTTGTCATACTTGGGGGGTTTGGTTTACTGTGTCCGTGGGGTCTCTTTCCCTTATGCAAACCCTGACTTCCGGGGGGGTCTGGTCCAGTCTGGGAGTTTCCTTTCTTAACTCCTACTTGATCTGGAAGAGTTTCCTTGCTTAGTGGTTCTCTATCTGCTGGGGAAGTGTTGAGCTTCTTCTCCTTGGGGAGTGACGTAGTTGGTTGTCTCCTATCTAGAGTCTCGTCTCTTAGCTGTTCACCGGATGCTTCGCCTCTTAGGAAGACTGGGCTAGACGAGGCGAGACTGTGTGCTTCCGACATCCTCTTTGCCGTCTCGGTCACGAAGTTTTTCTCCCTTTGTGAGACTTCCGTTGTTGGGTTGCCCACTCTTAGATGCTCACCAGTCTCCGGTTCCACCAATTGGAGTTTTGCGGGTTTCTTCCTCGGTAACCCTTCTACTAACGTCTTGCCACCCTTGGTCCAGATATTTAGACCCTGGCCTCCGCCCTGGGCCCCTGTTCCGTCACACTTCAGTTCCTGGCCGTCCAGGTGACACTGACCTATTTTCTTTAGATCCCACCCATTCTGCCTGATTATTCCGTTTAATTCATAGGGGGTCTCGCTCTGGCAACATTTGTTGATGCCATGATATATACTCAAGACGAAGCCGAGTCTCCTCTTCTGATCTTCTTCACGAAGGTCACCATAATTTATTCCTTCCATAAATTCTTCTATGTTCTTTATCTCTTTAGGTTCGCTGGGCTGCGAGTGCCCCCCCAGCTTTAACGCCACCTTCTCCCATACTGGTGAGCAGGGTGATCTTTCGATTTTGGCTTCGGTTTCTTGGGGCCTTGGGGTACCTACCAGGACGGTTATCAGACATGTCAAAGCCATCAACATCTTCTGACCTACGTCTGTTTTTCCCCAATCCCTACCGGTTGAGTTTTTTAACATGGAGGTCCAATTGTTCTTAGACCAGATTTCTTCTTTCCCTTGATTAGTTCTCACTTCGATCCTCTCTAACTTCAATGCATTAGACATTACACAGGTCAAGAGGCCCTTCCAAGCGGTTTCATCAATCCTTTCTCCCTTTATTCTTCTTATGAGCGGTGAGGACTCCTTGCCCAGCTGGTCCCAGTCCAGCTGTCGCGTTATCTCCGTAAGATCCCTACTCCATTCACCAAGGAAGCCTTGTACTGCCCCCGTTGTCCCTCCATACTCTCCAAGACAATACCTGTGGAATCCCTCCGTACACTGGCCCCCTCGTGTGTGCAGTGGGGCGTGTTCCCAAGTTTGGGCATCATCCCTCAATCTAATCTTATACATGATTTTCGGACCGTAATATACTGTTGGTCTTCTGCCTCGGAGACCTGTTCACTCACCCTCGCTGGTTCTTGACTCTTTGGGGGAGACGCGATCTTGCCTTCCTTTAATTCTTTTATTCCTGCTTCAGTTGGCTCTGCCGCCCCCTCGGAGCTTCGACTTTTAGCTGCCACCGGGTAGTGGTTGTTTTTTGGGAGCGTCGTACCCTGAGATTGGGTTTTGGCTTCTGGGGTGTACGCTTGCATTGGAGTTGCACAGGCCCTTTGACTTTTTGCGAGACGGGTCTGCTATAGTTCCTGGCTCTCTGTCTTTCAAGGCTTCTAGGAGGAACCTCCTGGAGTTTTTAGTTTTTCCTTTTCTACTGTTCTCGGTAGATCCTCTTGCAGGTGTGACTTTCTTTCTCCTCTCGCTTCTTGATATCTTGATCGGCTTCTGGAGAGTTGGCTCCCCCTCCAGATTTCGCTGAGGCTAATCTGTTTCTGAGTCCTTTGGCTTAGGCGCTGCCTGTACCTCAGCTGTGAGTTTACCGACATTCACGCTAGATCTATTGTTTCTTGTGGCTTCTAGTCGTTCCCCAACATCCCATTTCATATTCCTACGATTTCCTCTGTAAGATCTCGGGCCATGCTTCTTGGTGCTCCTTCGGCCTTTAGTCTCTTGCTATTTTTCGTGACTGCCCGAGGTTTCCCGGCTGCGGGGAATCCTTGTTTACTCGTCTACTTTCCCTCCTCCCTTCTCTCCTTCCTCCTCTTGGGCCTGTGTGGTTCTTGAGTGGGGCAGGTGATTCGTTCTCTTAGTTTTTAGGTATCCTCTGGTGTCTGTCCCTCGGTTTCTCGGATCCTGCTGGGTGGAGTTACTTCTTCGCGCGACGATTGTTTCCTTCTACCTTGTCGTTACCCTCCCCCTTGCCATCCTAAACTTCTTGGCCTCGTCATGGCATCAGGGAGGGTTCCTGGAGGTTGACTATTGATCTCCTTGTTCTCCTCCTGAACTCACGCCCGCGTCGGCCCCCACCTGTAGCTTCTCCACACCATAGTCACATGCCTGGGCTTAGGCTCGGAGCTAGAGGTCCCTCCTCCTACCTTCCCTGCCCCATATTCGCTCTTTAGAAGTTATACTTCTCAGGCTGATTGGCCGGATCCGGCTTCTCTTACAGGGACTCTGGCTCCCTTCTCTGACTTCGGTCCTCGCCTCTTATTTGTTACCCATCGGTTGCTGAACCTCGCTTCTTCTTGACATTCAATTGGTCCAGGAGCGTATAGCTCTCCAGCCTTGGTTTCCCTGGTCTATGTAGGCCTCCCCCTGTCCTTCGCGGCGGGGAGCCCCTCCTGTGGTTTGGGGGCGTCGGATGGAGCTCTGGCGAGAATTTTGCAATGCTGATCTTCGTTGTGTTTGAACGAATTCTTATACGAGCTGGATTCTATTAGCGACCGTCAGTCCATGTAGTCCTCCTCCGTCCTGTATTCTCATCGAGATCATCTTGGTCCGTGGTCCTTCATTTATCACTTTGCCTCCTCTCAGTAGTGGAATATTCCTTGGGGGTTGTCTGTTTGGAGACTCTTGCCTCGGTTCGGGAGGTTGCCCGTGCCGGAGTTCCGGTACCATGCTTAGCACCTTGGTGGTTCGGCCTTCCCCCTCGATCTGGCGTTTTCTCACTTTTGGGGTTGCCAGACAGAGAGTTGATGTCCCTTTCTTTAATTGCTTATTCTTTTGTCTTCTATGGGTTGCTTTCTTGCTGATTCGACCCCCCTGTTGGCCTGGGAGTTCCTTAAGTTGGGCTGTTCTCTTCATCGCTATTGCAGTTTCTGGTCATCGGATTCTTTACTTGACTTGAGCTGTTTCTTCGTACCTTCACGGCCTTATTTATTCTTCCGCCAGCTCTGGACGATTTGGCCTTGACAGGGGGCTCCTATTGGTTTTTAGGGTTCCTTTTGCAATCTATCCTCCGTCTTTGGCCCATCTTCCTTGTTGGTTCTTCGGGGGAGGCGCACCCTTCTAAGGTGCCTTAGCTTGCCGCTGGCGGTTTAGTCCTGACGGTGACGCTGCCTTCTCGCCCGTCGCACCTCTTAACTATGGAGTTTTGCCCAGGGATTGTACGACGGATCTTAGCCGTACTTTGGAAATTTGTGCTTCCTCTGCAACTATCCTCAGCGGCTTCGGGAGCCGTCCCTCGTCGCTCTTCTATGGCGATTCTATCTCGCAATTGCTGCTGAGTCCTTATTTGATATTCTGTTACGTTATTAGTTGCACCTTCCTGTTTCGGGTTCAGCAATTCTCTGGGGTGGTTTTAGGAGTTTGAACTTGAAGCGAACATGACAGAGTACTAGATCATACCTGCTTTTCTTAGCGGAATGATCCTTTTTTATCCACTGGATGCAATTGTTCCCGTGAAGCTTTTGGGGTTGGGCTGCGTTTTTGAGTCTTCATGTTGGCCCAACGCCTGCAGATTCATCCTCGATATCATCGTCTTCTGCCTGTCTGATTCGCACTACGTTTTAACTAGTCCAGAGCCTATTATCATCCGAAGCGGGAGGCTTTCTTAGGGTAGTCGTCTCTCCTTGTGGTTTGAGGTATTATCCTAGTGCCCCTCCTTCGTTGGATTTTAAGATTAACCATTATTCCTTGTTTATTGAGACTCCCACTACTCGTGGGCCGTCGTTTTCTACCTAAGCTCATCACTTGTTGTCTGTCCCTTAACTTGGTTTGACCATTGTTGCTCTTGGTATTTCCGTGGGTTTTTCGCCTTCTGGATGTGCTCAGGCCAGGGATTTGACAGATATATCATTGATTTGTTGGCCTGTGGATTCTTGGCTCTGCTCTGTTCTTTCGGAAGGACATCTCTTTACTTTTGCAGAGTAGGCTCTGGGGGTTTGGTATGAGGAATGAGGATGACGTACCTGGGGTTGTACCCGTCTCGTTATCCCCACTTTGTCTTCGAGCAGCCGGAAACTTCTGCCTAATTCTTGTTCTGTTTTCGGACGCCTGTTAAGTCAGATGATATGAGGTCGGTGAGTCTGGACTGGGGGGTTTAGAAACCTTTGCCTCTTAGTCTTTTAGGTGTTATCTTCCCTCGGAGAGTTTGTTGGTCAAGCCTGTAACCGGTCATCTGTCTCGCCGTGCCTCGAGGTACCCATTCTTCTTGTTATCTAGCGGACTATTGGATCAGGACTGGTATTATCTTAAGTTCAAGCTGTTTCTCTTCAGAAGTCGAGTTTGTTGCTGCAGTTGTCTCGGGTGGGGAAGTTTTTCCTCTTGTGCATTGGGTGTCTGTTTGGTCCTGGTCACGTAGGGGGAGAGTTTTCTTCCTCTCCTTGTTTTAGGTTTCCCAGTGAGGTCAGCATTCATTTAAGGGATGAGGAGCTGCTTCGGGACGTGGAGGGACCCTTGGTCTCGTTACATTATGTCCTCCGCCCAAATTGGATCCTTGGTTTGGGAGGACTCTTCAAAGACAGTGGTAGAAATTTATGGCAGTCCCTCGCGTGTTGTTGTGTGTTTGGCTTGGCATTGGTTTCACTGTTTTTTGGGTGAGATGAGGTTAGAGGCCCGCTGGTTTTTTGACTTGAATGGCGCCCGGGTTGGGTTCCTGATTCTTGGAGATTTATCCGTTAGTTTCTCTCAGTGAATGCTTATATGAGATTGATTAGTGAGGTGGGAATTAGCTCCGTCTGGAAGTCCTTTTCTGTAGGGGAGATTCCCGTTGGTTTACAGACTTGTTGGCCCCTGGTGTGAGGGGTTTTCTTCTGAGGTGGTTGCTGCGGGCTGTTGGTGTTGCTTGTTCCGTACTTGGAGCTCCCCGTAATTTATCTCTTCTCGGCTGGTGGTGGTTGCTATTTCGGCGACGTGTTAGTTTTAAAGTTTCTCTTAGTCCGTGACCCTTGGGATTTTGGAGATGGTCAGACATCTCTCTTGGGAGTCTTTATCATTTTATATCTCAGTTTTGCCACTTTGGGGACTTGTCGTTAGTTGTTGTTTGTACTTCTTCGATTGGGACGGTCTAACGGAGAATACTGACCTCTATTCATGGAGGGTTCGTTAGTTTTGCTGGATTATCCTTTTATGACTCGTGTCCCCTATTGAGTGGGGCCTCCTGTGGAAAGTTTGGCCGGCTTGGACTGTAGGGGAGGTTCATTTTCGATCCTTTGTTGCTTCACAGTTAAGACGAAATCGGTTTTCCAGCTGACTCTCTTGCAGTACCCTTAAGACTTCAGTCAATGCGAGTTCATCTGGAATCTATCACGAGTGCCCGTTTTCGTGTGTTCCTTTGAAGGGGAGGAGTAGATTTGTCTTTGGAGGCTTCCTCATGATTAACCCTTTTTCGTACGTGACTGGTTTTTGTGGGATTCTAATGATAATATTCGCAGGTTCGCCTATCTTTACATAATTAATTTAATCCTTTAAACGGACGCACCGGTTTGTTCATGAAGTTCTTGTCTCGCCTTTGGACTCACCTGAACTCGAGCTGAGACGGTGGGGAGGTGCTATTCGGCTGCTAGTGAGAGTTGATTCTAGGCTTTGTCTTGGTCGAGTGGATGAGAGTTGATTGGTGACTTGCGGGATGTTCCTAAGAGGCAGTAGATATCCCAACCTATTATCATCCTTCGTTATTAGTTGGCATTTTGATGAACTTTGATGACTTATTCATATTTGCTTGAGATGCTTAACGGGGCTGCTTTGTGCACCAGATAAAGTTCCCTTTTTTTGATTTGGGTCGTCATTTCCTATTTGGCTAAGAGATTAATCGCTTTATTACCCTAGCTTTTTTTATATTAATTAAACAATCTCTTCATTCTTCCATACATGATATAGGACAGATTAATATTTCTTCCGAAGTCGGATTTTAAGAACATAAGTTGCTGTTACTTGATCTTTGACTTTTGTTCTTTCCTTAAGAGAGATGTCAAGAAATTTATTAACCGGATCTAATGATCAGATGTACCTGAGGAACCCATATATACGATGTTTCTTATAGGAGAGGCTATTACTAGTTGAGAAAGAGAGTTAAGGACTAAATATTTTTTTCATATCTCCTTCTATAATCTATAAGGGGTTGTGTATGAATTGATTCCGCCTAGAGGCTGCTCTGATCTTACAATGATTCCACAATTATTATTTTAGTAACCTAATTACATGATGTTGGTCCTGGGATTTGCTGGTTTGTCCTTAGGCACTATTGGAAACTTAATCCAGATTAGGATAGACGACTAGTCAAGTTTTCTCTTTTATTTATTAATTTTATAACTTTACTAATTATTAATGTACATTCATATCATATAATACTTATGGTTTCGTAGAGACATTAATCTGTTGGTTTTTCGGTTTTAGCACTTTTTTTTTTTTTTTCTTCTAATACTTTTAATCCTGTGATCATAGATTGGTGTTGTCATAATATGAGTGATATGCCATTATATTCTCTGATAAAGAACAAATTATACCTTTTATAATGATTTCATTGTCTAATACGATGGGAATCATAGGAAATATATCACGAGATTTTTATTTCTTGGCAGTAGAAAACGACGTATAATTGCAGATCTCCTTTCTTGTCATTTTTGGTGCTTAAATATTAGCCGAAAGAGAGAAAGGAATAAAGAAATAATCGGAATAAACACAATTTTTCACTACGCCGATAAAATCTTCCTGGATTCTTGCTATATTACCTTGTTTCTGTGAATCAATCCTAAAGAATAAGGTTGCCTGTAGGTAATATACTTTCGTGCTGAATTTTTAAAGTTAAAATGACAGAACAAGATTGGAAGCTGAGGTGAAATAGGAAATGAACCCCTTCTTAATACCTGTAAAAAATAAATAAAAAAATCCCATACCCTCGTAACATGCCCAGATTTAGGTTTTAGTTTAATCCATAGATATGTTATTTCTTAAGGAGATGATATATCTCTTAGGACTATTACTTTAGTGATAGAGAATAATAGTCCTATCACATTAATTACACTGTGGAGGGATTATTCTTGGGAGACAGTGACGGAATCATAAGGATGTGTACTGATCAAGTATGTTTTTTATAGTAATTTTGATAAAGTGAGGTGGGGAAAATCTTCCACATCGTCCAGTCCACAACTAAATTAGTTTGCCGGTGTAGCCTGTCAGATATATAGAGGATAGCAGTTTATACTATTCCAACCTAGCTGCTGTTATGCTATGGGCGGGAGTTTCAAATATTTTTTACAGAATTGTCCTGGAATAAGACTTGATACAAGTCATAAATGATACCAGAGAATGTTTTCATTATTGCTCTTAATAAAGCGCGCGAATATTAAATTCTTGTCAACTCACCTATGATTCTTAACTTTCGAAGTTTTTGCGGATATGACTAATTCCATATTCTGTGGCTTCAGAATAATTCTACTTTTCCGGAATGGAACAATACAGTCGGGTTCATACGCAGCTTGGAGGCTTTCAACATATACTGTAGTGTACGCTTAGGTGCCTTTGATGAAAACTCTCAATTTAAAGTATGATAGTTTGGATTTTTGATTAAATTTAGTGAAATACGAATTTCAGTTGTGAATAATTCCTTAAAAAAACATATGCTCAGCTCATATTCCAATCTTCGCACCTCTTCTAAATGTAGTTTCACGTCTGAAGATGCACTTCTTCCTTCGTTTAGTCGTTTATGGGGGCGCTCAAGGCTTATGGGTAGGCTCCCCACTATCATATTTTCCTCTACATTCTGCTCGTTTCCTGCTGTCTATATTCTTCCCTAGGGGTGTTTCTATTTAGGAATAACCGTTACTTTCTCCTTTTTCCATTTGGTTTCAAACCCGTTCCTTTTA